GATTCATTTATTTTATTTATTAATACCGATTTTTCAATTGATTTTTGAGTTAAATCATAAATCAAATCTTTATTTTGTTTTCCTTATTAATAATAATCTTTTAATTTTTTAATTTAAACCACAAAACAAATCTTTATTTATTTTTTATATTAAAAATTAAATTTTTTGATTTTTTTAATTCAAATCACAAAACAAATCTTTATTTATTATTTTATTATTTTTTATACCATTATTGCAAATTTGAACAGTGTTTGTGAGAGATAAAATATATCAAATGAGATGTCATTGCGTAGATCTTGAAGAGTTACGTGGAAACAAAATTCGGATACTCGAGTCAAAAGTTATGGCTTTCTAAAGTTTTACGGTTTGTAAGTTGACTTTTTTGTGTCACGTGTCAACACCAAACGAGTCACGCCTAAATTAGGTGTGAATGCCTTGGGAGTCACGCCTAACTTAGGCGTAATTATTTATTAAAATACTAATATTTTATTTTTTTTGCCTATTTAAGCAAAATAAACCACTATTTATCATTATTATTAATGGCCACGCCTAATTTGGACGTGAATAAGTGCAATAGATCGGAAGGGGTTTAAATCTGGGAATGGGGTGTGAATGAATGCAAAATTCCATGGAGATATCACGTAAATAGTTTCGAAACAACTATATATTTGTAAATTTGGAGAATCCTTGCATGTGTTCATAAATGACATGATTGCATGACTCATTCTATGTGAAGAGTAGAGAGATCAGTTTGATGTATATAGAGGTAGTCAAGCATGCACTCTGAACTGTGAGGAATTGAGCCTATACAGAAAATTTTTGTTCAGAAAATTGCAGGAACTTGCCCTGTTTCAAGAAAAGTAAAGGCACAAAGTGCTTGGTTGAGAAAAGGAGGAAGAAAGTTTAAGAAAAAGAAAAGTTGTAGAAAAGGTGGTGTAATAAATGAATGAAAAAGAATAAGGGAATGAGAAGGATTAAGGAGCACATAGATAAACTCAATTGTGATCCTCCTCTTATCTGACTCTGATTCATCTAATCTGAACCCTTTTTGCAACATTAAAGCCTACCTTTAGCCAAACCACATGCCAAGATATTTCCCTCCTCCTATACAGAATCATATTCCTAGCCAAGCCATACCACCAAAGTCTCTTTTGATCTACTTTATAGATCATTTACTGTGGAGAGTGAGAAGATGGGCAAGCTTATGGTAGTTTGAGTGCAGTGAAGATTGTGTGATACGTACATCCTTAAACACTAGTGTGCAAGAGTGTTAAAATTCTCACAATTTTTGAGAAATTCCTAGTGAGGGGGTGTTTTTGTGTTAAAAGTCTCTGCATTTCATCTTACTGATCTGTTGAAAGTCATGTGATGAGGTTGAGCAAGTCATAGGAAATGATAGATTGCTTGGTTGTAAGATTGTATCAATGAAGGTTGATCTATCATAATTCAAATTCATCCTCATAAGTTTCATGTGTAAAGAATCTCAATCCTTCTCTATTTTTAAAAGTTATTGCGGAGGACAACAATATTCAAATCTGAGAATTGTGATAAACCCTTAGTTCATCAAGTTTTTCAGCATGAATTAGTATCAATTTGTGTGATTAAATGATGGAAAAAGAGGTTAATGTCCTAGAATTTCCTCAACTACAAGTTCAAGAAGCTTTATTGAGAATTTGTATTGTTCTTGTAGGAAAAGCTAGCTAAAAAGGTAACTGGAGAAGGAAGGAGATTTTGAAGAGGAGAAAAATGCCTAAGTGTTGAGCACTAAAACGTCCACACAGAACGTTTTAGCGCCCTGTTGCAGAAAGAGGCCAAAACTTGTTGGTGTTGAGCGCTAAAACAGCCACACAGAACGTTTTAGCGCGCTGCTACATTCTGAGGACGAAAAGTTGCTGGTCTTGGGCGTTAAAACTTCCTTCAACGAACGTTTTAGCGCCTTGATGTTAAAAAATCTCTGGTCTCCAACGTTAAAACGTCCAAACCAAGTGTTTTAGCACTGGAGTCAGTTGAGGACAGTTGAGCATTCACCAGGCATGGACGCTAAAACGGCCAATCATGAACGTTTTAGCGTTCAAGTTAGTTTAAAGCAGTTGGGCATCCGTCAAGCATGGACGCTAAAACTCTCATTCTGAACGTTTTAGCACCCATATTAAAATTCTGTTTTAAATTGTAAAACTATATAAGGCAAAGGCCTTCACAATTTGGGATATCTGGAGTCTCTCTCTCTCCTACATCAGATTCTCTGATCTGACTTCTCTCTAAAATTCTTAGGATTTAGTCTTTGTATTAGTTAGTTTCTCTATTGTAATTGCACTTGGAGATTGAAGATTCACTACATGGAAATGGAGTTTGATCTTTCTTCTCTTTTATCTTCCTTAGTTATGTCTAAGTAGAGTCATTGTAGTCTGAATTCAATGGAACTCAATGATACTCTTATGTATATTTGATTAATATGATGAAGTGTTTTTCATGTGTTGATATGAGATTTTCTGATTGAATTCTTTCTACTAAGGGAGGAGTGTAGAACAGGAATGTTTACACTACTTCTATATTTGACAATCTCATCATCAGGATTATAGTACTCAAAGAATTGATGCTATAGTTCTGATGTAATCTTAAGACCTTAGTATATTTCATGCATATATTAAGAAATGAATCACCAAGGGATTGAGGTCTCTGATTAATGTATCTATCAGGGTAGTAAGGGATTACATCTTGAGGATAAGTAAAAGGTTGATTAACATCACAGGAAAAAGATTTCATCATATGATCAGTTTACATGAGTTTATTGTTGAGGAAAGTTGTTTTCTGACTACTTGTTTTTATAAATTTTTAGTATTAAATTAATTTACTTTCAAATTAACTTTCTGGTGACAAAACATTCATGATTTTTACAAACCTTTGTTTAATTCAAATTAGTTTTATATGGTTCATTGGTGTTTGAATACAAATCTCTGTTGGAACGATCTTTACTCATCATTTTATTACTTGTACGACTAGTACACTTGCTAGATCTGCAACAGCCAACACAGCCTAACAATATAAAAATAACAGGGATGTGAGAAGATTAGGGATAGGTTTAGAGGAGGAAGAAAGAAGATGACATCATGTGTGGGTTTTGTACATTTTTGTATATTATATTTTGTATTTTTTTATATAAAAAATATAAACTCAACCCGCGAGCTGGCAAGTTTGACCCGCGGGTTGGCTCATTTTTTTCCAAGCTGGCTCGGGTCGGGTTGGCAGCTCATTTTTGCCAACCTAATCTGACTCATTTTTTGCAGGTTACGAGCCAACCTGACGGGTTGACTCGTTTTTTCCAACCCTAATTGAACTTTACTGAAAGAGCAAAACTCAACATCTAACGCATAAATTTTATAGACATTTAATAATATAAAAAAGACATTGCCAAGTGCCAAAAGCTAATAGGAAGGTTAGCGATTGTGAAATTTTTGGAACAAATATCTCACCGAAATTTATATAAAATTTTACACACAAAAAAAGTGTAAGCACTTATAGAGAAAAAGAGAGTATTAAAATAGTTTATCAAAATAATATTTCTGCAGTTACTGCAGATAAATTATCTGCATTTACTCCCAAAATGACGTTGTTTTGGGATTGAAAAATTTAATAATTATAATTATAAAGATTATAATAACCCTGAAATAAATTAAAATTACAAAAACATCATGATTTTCGCCCCAAAACGACGTCGTATTAGGCTTACTGCAGATAACTTATATGCAGTAACTGCAGAAAAAACGAACACATAGTTTATTTCTATTAAAAAAGCATATATTAGGTCAATAATGTACTGGTTCTTAATATGAAGGGTATGTGTGATAAAAGAATAATATTGGATGAGGTAGTGTTATGATTGTATTTCAAAAAAAGAAAAGTATTTTATTAATGGATAAAGGATTTTTCCGGTCAATGGAGATAAGTTATCCCCGGTGAGCCAAAAACAGTATCGTTTTGGGACAGAAATCAAGGTGTTCTTGTAATTCTAATATATTGCAATGTTATATTAGTCTTTATCATTATAATTTTTTAATCTTATAATTTCAAAACGACGTCGTTTTGAGCTCACTATATAACTTTATTTCCAGTGACTGGAAAAATACTTTTTCCTTTATTAATTATTAAAATAATTTAAAAATAATATAGATAGAACTGCAAAGCCCGTTTAATCCTTTTAAAGTGAGGCCCGGCCCATTCTATTTTCCATTATATCGCTTCACCAGCCGCGTTAAACTTAGTTAGGGGGCATTTGGTTGAGGAAATTTTTTTGGAATAGTAGGGAAATATAATAGATAGAGAAATAATTGAAAAGATAGATAAAGTGAGATAGGTAGAAAAATGTAAAAAAAAGTTGTTTGGTGGGAAAAAACTTTACTGAGAAAATTAGGTAACTTTATGAAATCAACAGTGCATTAAAAGCCAGATAACCGGTTTTCCGAAAAATTCCATCTTCAAATTGGGTTTCTAAACAGTGCGGATGTCTATGTTTCTCATAAATCCATACAAATTGGATAAATAGGTTTTTAGTGAAAATACGTTGAAACAAACATGGTGTTTCTAAAAGCCATACTTGACAAACATAGATATCCGCTGAAAAGCTCCCAACCAAACACCACCTCAGGGTTTTTTCCTGCGGTACCTTCTCTCATAAGAGCTTTCAGCTATTGGATTTGTCTTCCTTCTCAGCTGATTATTTTTTTTGTTTTCTTGTTTTGTGCAGAATTATTTTTTCACAGCTGATTCGAAAAAGCCTAAGTTTCGAATATGAGGTGTTTATACTTTCGTTTCCTACTTGTCCCTCTGTTCTCATATTTTAGCGTGTTTATGCGTTTTGCTATTCATCATTTTTCATTGATGATTTGTGTTCGTTGCATTTCGTATGGTGTTTCTGATGTTAAAGAAAATTGTTCATTGCAATGACGCGCTTGAAAATCTAGGGTTTCTGATCTGTTTTTGACTGTTGACTGTGCAGTAAGCTTCAGAGTGATGCTCTAAGAGAAGCTATCTCAGGAATCATGGCTGATTCCAAGGAGAAAAATCGTAAATTTGTTCAAACCATTGAACTCCAGATTGGGCTGAAAAACTATGATCCACAGAAGGATAAGCGTTTTAGTGGCTCTGTCAAGTTGCCCCACATCCCTGTTGAAAAAATAAACTTGATTTAGTTTTTTGGTCCATTGGGCTTAGTTATTATTTGGCCCAACTTCTAGAATAATCTTTAGGAGTAGTTTAGCCCAAATTCTAGAGTAATCCACTCTAGATTACTCCATGGAAATATCTAGAATAGTTCAACCTAGAAACTACCATGGAAGCATCTAGCTAGGAAAATTGTGGAGAATTCTAGAGAATAATTTGTAGCCATTAGATGAGAATAGTGTTGGCACAATCCTAGCCATTGGTTAAGGAGGTGTCACTAGTATAAATAGGTGTGTCCTCCATCGTTTTGTATCAAGCCAAAAAACAAGCCAAAAGGAAAAAGAGTTGTGTAGTAATAAAAGTGTTCTCTTCCTCCAAATCTTTCTAAACCTTTCTTTTTCTCAAATATCCTCCTCCCAACAAAGTGGTATCAAGAGCCTTAAGAACCTTTCTAGAGAAATGACAAGTAGCAACATGGTTCCTTTCCAAGTCCCTATGTTCACCAAGAGCAACTATGATAATTGGAGCATCAAGATGAAGGCCCTCCTTGGATCACAAGATGTGTATGAAGTGGTAGAGAAAGGCTACAATGAGCCACAAGAAGGAGCTACTCTATCCGAAGCTCAAAGGGATAGCTTGAAGGATTTAAGAAAGAGAGACAAGAAAGTTCTCTATCTCATCTATCAAGGATTGGATGAAGATGCTTTTGAGAAGATTTCGGAGGCAGCCACCGCAAAAGAAGCATGGGAGAAGCTACAAACCTCTTACAAGGGTGCTGAACCGGTCAAGAAGGTACGTCTTCAAACTCTAAGAAGTGAGTTTTTTTACACATGAAAGATGCCGAAAGTATCTCCGATTATTTTTCTAGAGTCTTGACGGTGACTAATCAATTAAAAAGAAATGGTGAAAAGATAGATGATGTAAAAATTATGGAGAAAATTTTGCGATATTTAGACTCGAAATTCAATCATATTGTTACTGTCATAGAAGAAACAAAAGATTTGGAAGCTATGACAATAAAGCAACTCTTGGGCTCCTTACAAGCATATGAGGAGAAGCAAAAGAAAAAGCAAGGGGTTGGTGAACAATTACTCAAGACACAACTCAACTTCAAAGGAAAGGAAGAAGACTTTGGGAACACAAGAGGACGAGGAGGATATCGTGGTCGAGGAAGAGGTCGTGGACGTGGAAGTATAGGCTTCAACAACAACTATGCCCATGAAGATCGAAGAGAAAGCTCAACAAGAGGTCATGGAAGAGGTGGCTTCCAACCAAGGCGTGACAAATCACAAATCAAGTGCTACAACTGTCAAAGGTTCGACCATTATGCTTCTGAATGTAGAGCCCCTACAAGGAGGATTGAGGAGAAGGCAAACTATGTGGAAGAGAAAAGTCAAGAAGATGGCACTCTGTTGATGGTACGCAACAACAATGTAGGAGAACAAGATAATACATGGTATCTAGACACAGAATCAAGCAATCCAGAATCAGAATTCGATATCCAAAATGAATTGGAGTCAGAGAAATCAGAGACTATGGAAGAAGAAGAGCATCAAGAAGAAACTAAAGCTGAAGCTGATAATATTGATGATATGGAAGAAGATACAGAAGCTGCTGAATGGATAAATAAATCCGATTTGATGAAAGAACATGAAGAAAAAAGAGGAGGAGAAGGTGACAGCAAGCGTAGTGGTGATCCTGACGACGTCGATGATGGTGATGAGGAACGTGAGGAAGAAGAGGAGAATGAAGCAGTACTAACACTGCCAGAATCAAAGATAGAACCCCAAAGAAATTTCATATTGGATGAAACAATGACAACCAAGAAAAAAAAACATATAGCAACTGAAGAAATGAAAGTTGAAGGCGTATTCTTTAGAAATGTTGATGACTCAGAAGGGCAGACAGTTCAAGAAGAAAATGATCAAACTTCGCCACCAAGTCCTACTCCAACAACTCTTGCATCTACACCATCAACAGGAAGAAGCAACAACAACAAAGAAATTAAACTAAAAGTGAAGCCTAGGAGCAGTAGCAACAAGTCAGGAGGAGTACCAACAAAGAAGACAAACAAAGGAGAAATAATTCTAATAAAAGAAAAACAAACTCTCATTGATGTGCCAGAAAAGCAAAAGAAAGAAGATATTTTGGAGAAAGAGCAAAGGGAAAAACCAAGGATTACTTGGTCAAATCTAGCAGAGATCGTGTATGTACCGGAGACGCCACAAACACCAATAAAGATTGTTTATCTTCCACCAATCCCAAAGCCACCGGACAAATGTGTTCCACAAAATATAATTGGTTTACAAAATCAAGTTTAAGAGGGGGGGTGTGAAAAAATAAACTTGATTTAGTTTTTTGGTCCATTGGGCTTAGTTATTATTTGGCCCAACTTCTAGAATAATCTTTAGGAGTAGTTTAGCCCAAATTCTAGAGTAATCCACTCTAGATTACTCCATGGAAATATCTAGAATAGTTCAACCTAGAAACTACCATGGAAGCATCTAGCTAGGAAAATTGTGGAGAATTCTAGAGAATAATTTGTAGCCATTAGATGAGAATAGTGTTGGCACAATCCTAGCCATTGGTTAAGGAGGTGTCACTAGTATAAATAGGTGTGTCCTCCATCGTTTTGTATCAAGCCAAAAAACAAGCCAAAAGGAAAAAAAGTTGTGTAGTAATAAAAGTGTTCTCTTCCTCCAAATCTTTCTAAACCTTTCCTTTTCTCAAATATTCTCCTCCCAACAATCCCTCGCCCCAAAATGAAAATTTGCATGCTCGGTGATGCTCAACACGTTGAGGAGGTATCTATCTGCTTTCAAACTGTTCTGTGGATAGGATCTTCAATTAGGTGCTTTAATGAACCCGAGTTACAAACTTTACAGTATTTTACAACAGGTTTTATGTTTATTTCAACTATAACCCTTTTTCCATTTAGTGGTGTGCTATTTAATATTTTTAATTAATGATTCTTAGTAATGTTTCATTTTCTTGAAATGATACAATGCTTATGTAATTTTATGGCCCCGGTATTTGAGAGCATTGTCATTCATTTAGGTTTTATGGTGGTGATTTTATATTGTGTGCTTTAGAGTTTTCTTAAATAATAATCATTCAGTTGTTGCCAATTTTGTTGTGTTAATGTTTATTTCTCTAATCTGCAGGCAGAGAAGATAGGATTGGACTACATGGATGTTGAAGCTTTGAAAAAGCTCAACAAAAATAAGAAGCTGGTAAAAAAACTGGCTAAAAAATACCATGCCTTTTTAGCTTCTGAGGCAGTCATAAAGCAGATTCCCCGTCTTTTGGGTCCTGGTCTCAACAAGGCAGGCACGTTTTGGTTTTCTTTAGGATTTTGACTTTTGAGCTTTTTGCACATTCCTATTGTACTTGGTGATTTGTTTCTGTTTTTATCGTTTAAAATGAGGTATTGCAGTCTTTTTATTAATCTCCGGCCACTTTTGTTCTATATATATTTTGTTTTGAAGTACTAACTGCATAAAAATCTCTTTAATGACCTCTTGTATCCTCTGGTTGATGCACTATCCACCCCCTTCCCTTGCCTGTAGTGAATTGCTTTGTTTGAAAGAATTTCTGTATTGTCTGTTTCTTTCACATTTCAATTATTGCTTTAGCTGATTTTGATATTTTGCATGACTTTCCAGGGAAGTTTCCTACACTTGTCACTCACCAAGAATCTCTTGAGTCAAAGGTTAATGAGACTAAGGCCATGGTAAAATTTCAGCTAAAGAAGGTGCTCTGCATGGGAGTAGCAGTGGGCAATGTTAGTATGGAAGAAAAGCAAATCTTCCAAAATGTGCAACTGAGCGTTAACTTCCTTGTCAGTTTGTTGAAAAAGAACTGGCAAAATGTGAGTAATACACTCTCATGACATATAGTAAAATCATTAAAGCTTTTATTTTACTGTGCTTTTTTTTAAAGCTATATACTTGCAAGTTCTTAGATTTGGTGTAATTGAGGATTCAGCTAGTATAAGAATAGTCTTCAATATTAGATGAGCCTCGATTGAATTGTTTTCTGGTGTTTCATGTTCTTGGAATATTCAATCTGGTTGAACCTGTCAATCATGTAATTCAAACTATTGTTGGTTTCAGGTTAGATGCTTGTATCTGAAGAACACCATGGGGAAATCTTACCGTGTATTTTGAGGGAATTTTTTTTCTTTCAAGTTCAGTGAATTTGTAATCGCGCTTAATACATTACCTTAATAGCTGGATAGGAATTTTCTTCTTGTTACAGTTTTGTTGGATGATTTTTATGATTAGTGTTTCGTGATCTTCTTTTCTTTAAACGTTGGACAATATAGGCGTGCTATTTTCGGGCTACCCGTCTTTACTTGCTAATTGCTATAATAACTCCTTGCCTACTGCTTCTGCTCTTAATTGCATTTATCCATTTTGGTGTGTTCAGTGGCCTGTTATTTTGCTGAACTAATGCTAAAATCGGGTTGAAGTGTCAGCTGTTCTCATGTTGTAAAGAGATAAAAACTTGAATTTATTGGGTGAAGGTTGTATTAATGGGTTTATATTATGTTTTTCTAATGCCTCTTTTTTTCATTAACTTGAAGGGTGGATAATGTGTATTTGTCTATCTATGTTAAGAAGTTTTTTAATATTTAATTATTTATTAACATAATGGGGATGTGAGGATCGAGCTTTTGAATATTTGATTACCAACTCAATCCAAAACTTAAAGCGTGTTAGATGATGGTTAAATTGATAATTTTATAAAAAAAATTTAAGCGTGTGTCAATCAATGCTAGACATTTACTATTGTTATAAAAAAAAATTATTATAAGGTAATTTTGTACATAGCTGATAACTAGGCAATATTTATTCCATTAATTTCGAAAGAGTTTCTTTTATAAAAAAAGGTACAATATATTTTCTCCTTTTATATTGTAATTTTGGCTGGGGCTTAAACTTTGCGTCATTTAAGATATCTTGTTTCTTTACCCAAAAAAAAGATACCTGTTTCAAAATATTTGTGAAAAAGTTTTATTATTCATTTTTTACAATTTTTTTCGTCAATATGTATTCATATGAAATAAAATTAAAGTATTAATAAAGTAAGAAATTATTTAAGATTTTAAGTGTACTTATACTTTTTAATAATTGAGAATATTGACTTTAGGGCAAAAAATTGAGAAATTATTTCAAAATGAAAAGAGGTTTGTCCCCATCTGTTTATTTATATATTGAGGCAAGACAGTTAGTGATATCATGAATGTAAAGATTGCTTTATTTCAGTGATACGATTGTTTGGGGTTAGACAAAAGCTCCTAACTTCCTATGGTTAACAAGTATAAAATAAGGGTTATATTTATCTTATGTTACATAAGATATATAAGTTTTTTACATACACAAAATAGAGGTGAGTCTCACATCTATTTTTTCTCTCTCCTTTTACATGTGGATTTCACTTGTAATTTTATTTTTATAACATAAGATAATCAATTTTCTACAACATAAAAAAAATATAACCCGTAAAATAATGTTGTCATAGTAAGTTCCATTGTGTCTGTCTTTTTTAAGCACTCAGATCATATCCCTTGTCCTACTGTGTGCAAAGAATAAAATGAATTAAGTTATAATTAAATGGCTAAAATTGTATAAAAGTACGGTGATGTGTTGTAAGTATATGTGAATAAAAAAGATGTATTAGATTAAGATTTTAAAAAATTATTTTTATTAAAAAATTTTCAAGATTTTAAAAGATTGTCTAAAATTGTAGTGACTTTAAAGACTTTTTTTTTAAAAAAAATTATAATTAAAATTTATAAAATTAAATTTTAAAGAATTTTTAAAATTCTAAAGCACAATACGAATTCATAAGATGTGAAGTTGTTTTGATTTTTGTGTACTGGGACAAAAGTGTAGAGCTCATTTTTTGTGGTCCCAACCTTGGTGGAACTTGCCCAAAAATGGAAACAAAAAAGGACTGGAAGGAAATTTAAACAAAAGATAAGGACTTTCTTTTTTTAAAAAAAAAATTATAATTAAAATTTATAAAATTAAATTTTAAAGAATTTTAATAGAATTTATAAAATTCAAAAGCACAATATGAATTCATAAGATGTGAAGTTGTTTTGATTTTTGTGTACTGGGACAAAAGTGTAGAGCTCATTTTTTGTGGTCACAACCTTGGTGGAACTTGCCCAAAAATGGAAACAAAAAAGGACTGGAAGGGAATTTAAACAAAAGATAAGGACATAAATAGAAGAAAAGTTTTCATTTTTTGGTAAAGGAGCATCCAATAAAACATGCACTGGGTGCATGTTAAAAAATCCAAAAGTGTATAACTATTCAAGTGGTGATAAGAAACACAAAAATTAAAAAATTAAAATAACGTTTTAAACAAGGTTTTTTATTTTTTATGATGAACCCTAAAATTTGATAATACAAATTCTGCTTCAATATTCCAGAAAAGCACATATATCATATATGAATAGAAAGATCTTGACACGTAGAACAAAAGCCCTAAAAGTTCTCAATTTAATAAAAAAATTCATCTATTAATTATACGGTATCAACTTTTATAAAAAAAAAATCCACAATTTTCTGATTCCAATCAACAACAATTCATTTGTATTGTTTTAATAAAAGGTTAGGGTAGATTGTGAAACACTACATACAAAAATCTCAAGAAATTTCAGGAGTTATGATGAGATTGATAGAGAGATATATTATTTATATTTTTCACTAAAAAAATCTTCAGAAAATCTACACTAATAGAAAATTCATTAAAACTATCAAATTTTTTAATACCACACGATTATTTTTCCTTTGTTTAAAATTTTAATTGAATACATCGAATTTGGGCAGACTTTAAAACAATCTTTTAAAATCCTAATCGAATATCACATGACTTTTTTATAAACCTTTAAAATTCTAATTGAATAATCAGGAATTTTTTTGTCCAAAAATAATCCATTAAAATCCTTTAGAATCTTAATCTAATATAACGTCTTAAGATTTTTCTAATGAGTTTTTCTCTATGAGTTTTTTTTTTTTTTTTTTTGGTTTTTGTTCAAAAGAATCGCACCATACACATTATTCACGAGAAAAGGGAAAAAAAATTAAAGAAATAGAAAAAAAGGTATGTGACCATTAAATCCTTCATACTATTAAGGGAAAATATGAAAATTGGTATGTCGTTGAGATGTATGAGATGGTCAGTTGGTCACCACTGAGTTATTTGTATCGTCTCTTTTTTAAATTATAACTTATTTTTAAGTTAAAGTTAAAAAAAAATTAAAAAAAAACTAAAAGCTATTTAGTGATTACTTAAAAAATTTAGCTTAAAAACACATATTTCAAGAAAAATCTCTCTCTCTCTCTTTATGTCTATGGCTTTTCATTCCAAAAAAAAACACACAATTAGAGAAAAACCAATAAGAGCTTAAAAAAACTTATCATAGGAATTTTTGGCTTTTTTCTTCATTATAAAAAAAGAGTTTTTCATTATCATAGTTTTTCTCAAAACTTGTTTGGCTTAACTTATGCTAAAAATAAGATGATCTAAACAAGCATTAAAAAGCTTAAAGTTAAATAGGTTTTGAGTAACCTCAAAAAAAAAAGCTTAAAGTTAAATAGGTTTTGAGAAAAGCTCTTATAATTAAAAAAATTCTTTTTTATAATAAAAAAAAGCTAAAAGCCAAAAGTTCATAGAATTTTTTTTTTAAACTCTTATCCGCTTTTCTTGAATTGTATATTTTTTTTTAAATGAAGAGCAGTAGAGATAAAGAAAGTTTTTTGAAATATATGTTTTTAAGTAGGGTTCGTTTATTCTACAGTTAATGTAGATAACTTATCTACATTGAGCAAAAACGATGTCGCTTTGATGCGAAAATCAAGATATTTTTATAATTATAATTTATTTCAGGATTATAATAGTCTTTTTTATTATAATTTTTTTATTTTTTAACCCAAAAGGACGTTGTTTTGAAAGTGAATGTAGATAATTTATCTACATTCATTGTAGAAACATTAAAGCCTTTTAAGTAACTTTTAAACTAAAATTTTTATGTAATCAATAGGGGTGTTAACGGGCCGAGCTTTGGTATTAAAAGGCTAAGCCTGTATTTAAATATATCAACCTGACCAAGTCTGTTACCTGTTATAAATATAATTATCGGTCTGTGGCCTGACTTATTTACCAGAAATAAAAGTCTGGTTTAGCCTGTTAGCCAATTTAAAAAAAATAAGAAAACAAAATTTATCCAAACAGAATATACAATCTATGTTGCACCGACACCGATACGGGACACGGGATACGACATGATACGACACTCCGACATGTTAATTTTAAAAAATGTTAAATTTCGACACGATAGGACACATTTTGATATTATATAATATTTTTAATTTATGTAGTGTATATTATATTTAATATTCAATAATTTAACAAAAAATAAAGCTAAACTTATAATATCCATCAATTTTGCAAATAAATATAAGATATCCCAAATATTTATATTAAACTCAAATAAAATAGTAATAATAATCCAACGAATCTAATAGTTGAAACTCAAAATGCAACGCAAGTACGCAACGTAACCTTTGAACCTTTTTTGAGTCTTTGCAACGAGTATTGAAGTGTCGAGAAGTGTCGGAGTGTCGGTGAGTATCGGGAAGTATCGGACACGACACGTTAGAGATTTTGAAGTGTCAGTGCTTCATAGTATACAATCAACAACACTAGTAATTTCATAAATATTCATAAATTTAATGTATATCCAAACCGCATAATATAGAACAAAATCATTCAAAAAATCTGTTTAACCAATAAAATTGGGTGAAATGGATTGAGAAGAAATAAAGGACTATTACAAGTAGTATAAAAAATATAAAAAATAATATACTAGGCCAGTCTAAGAGTCTCTAAGGCCGAGCTTTTGAATTGGAGACTGATACCTTTTTATTAAACGAGCTTTTATACAAGTTCAAGTCTGGTGCTAACAATCAATTTTAGACATGTAAGCTCAGCCCTTCACGAGCCGAGCCAAAAAAACCCTGGTTTGTTTAGCACCTCTAGTAATCAACAAACAATTTTTAACTTTTTTTTAAAAATAAATTAGCTTTAACTTATAAATAATTTCTAACTTAAAAAATTGAAGATCCATACAGATTCTAAGGTACCACTTAACCTGCTTAATAATATCTTGAGAACAATAGCCTAAATTACTATGCAATTTCAACCTTAATCATTGCCTATGCGGATAGCCAACGAAATCTTCAACATA